TAAGAATCTGCAAAAAAATCCGCACAATATCCAGTCAACGGATGTACTAAAGCTGTCTGGATAAGGGAACACACCTACTTCGTCCAGCGTCTCCTCGGACACTAACAACCACCAAACCAGGTCGCGCACTCTGAAGATGCAAACGCCTCCAAAAATCGCTACGCAGTTATTCGCATTGTTCAGGAAAGCGAGTGAATCGCATGGTCCTCATCTTGCAAGAACTTTCGCCCACAAAATCACAGTCCTAGGTTTTCATTTGGGAAATCTTCAGTATCACCTTCCCGGCCTCCAAATGCCTCAGTATGGTCGGGGGTGGGTGCCTCAGGTTCCGAGACGGCTACTCGTCCTCAACGCCTCTCGAAATGCTCTCAAGTGACCGTGCGTCTAACACAGCCCCTGCTGAGGAAGTCCTACTCACTGCCCTCTTGTGGCAGAGATGTTTCCACTAAAGTGAGAGGACGGAAGCGAATGCCCGGCGCTCTCCACCGGGTTGACTGACTAATAACCAATCCAGGGGAGATGGCTAAACCCTGATTCCAAACCAACCACAGGTGGCGCATGAGGCGTACAACGGTATGCTCATCGGCATCTGTGGCGGAGAGGTGCACTGGCCATCCAAGATGTTTGGCCTCATCGCAAGGGCGAATGAACCCAGTAGTCAACGGCCCCCAGTGGGTTACGGACCCCACGTTTCGCCCCGCTGCCTTGCAGAATGAGCTTTGGATAGCTAAAGGCTCCAGCTGTTGATACCTAAGAACGCCACCTGGTTCGGCTTGGGCTACCTGACAGTACCGCGCCGACAAATGAGTCATGGACTCGGACTACCTACCCCTTTCCCTCCCCCCGCATTGTACTATGTTTTGTTTTGCACACAGTCTGAAACCAGACAGTTGTAATATATATATATATATATATATATATATATATATATATATATATATATCCTGGCATGACAAAAAAGAGGTTTTCAGAACCACGCAAAGTACGGATTTCAACCGAAAAGGTACAGGGCAATTCCGATGTACATCACTTATTCTGGCTCGCACAGCCTTGGCGATTCATGTACTGGGATTATGTAACTGATACGTATTCATCAAACGGGCGACAAGAGACCCAGGGGTAGTTCGATCACTGGGACTTCTTACGTTGTTTCTGACGGGTGAGCAACTCAGTACCAAAGCATCCCCCCGTTACAATATAATCAGGATAACCAACTTACATTTCTATTACACGCTTGTGCAGTGTAGCGGAAGGGGTAGATGTTAGAGAACCTCGAAGACCCATTGTATTATTATAAATAGCTGCCAACCCAACCTTGAGACGAGGTGGAGAACCACATAAGTTCAAGTGACTGGATTACTATCTACCGCTGCCGCGTCGTGCTAACTGGTCGACCTTGGTCGTCCACTGGAACACAAACGCCTAAAGTAATGTATCCCAAGTACAGTGAAGAGAATGCGGACAAACGCCGTCCCATTACTGATACCAAGGTTCTAAAGATCAAACAGCGACCGGTTACTCCCAAAGAAAAAATAGTAGACGCGATCCGCATCGTTACAAAATACCATATGAGCAAGTGATATAAGGTTTAACAACAAGGATGAAACAGCTGTACAGTGCTTCCATGGTTTTCAATGGTGAGTTGAGCGTTCAAGCTGCATGATGAATCATATTATATACAAATCTAATCTCCTACAACTCAATTGCAAACAGTAACCAAGCTCTGTAGGTTGTTCATAACGGAATGCCTTCGTTGTACTTAGGCCCCTACAGAGAAGTCATCCATCATAGGAGTCGATCGCTGTGTGGGAAGCGGGTTGTTACCGTTCAAAGCCAGTGACGGAAGGGTGCTATATCATGTAGTGTAGATGTTCAACAAACCGTTGAGAGCCAGCCCGGATAGCCTTGTGGTTAAGGTGTCCGATTCACAATCGTTCACCCCGGGTTCGAGTCCCCGTGGGGGCTCGGTGGATGTGCACTGCTGATGATTCCCAACAAGGATGAAACAGCTGTACAGTGCTTCCATGGTTTTCAATGGTGAGTTGAGCGTTCAAGCTGCATGATGAATCATATTATATACAAATCTAATCTCCTACAACTCAATTGCAAACTTGGTGCGCTTTGAAGCGACATTCGTTGGACGCCAATCAGCGGAAAAACAACTGCTTTATCCAAATGGCTTGATATGCCGATAACCTGACGGGATTCAAAGCACTTATCTAGTCGAACAGGAGGCATCCACGAAAAGGATGTATCATGCAGACACCAATTTCAGGGGGTAGTATTTGACCATATCGACACAACGAATGAATCAACATATTTTGCATACAACATTCGGAATAAATGTTGCTAACTCTGGGTCCAAACGTAAGCTAAAATCAGTCTAGCATAAGTTCTGGCAGCCCAACCTTCAACCACCTCGGTCTGGTCGGGGGTGGGTGTTCCAAGCTTTAAAATGGCTACCCGCCCTGAACGCCTCTCAAAATGGTCCTAAATGACCGTGCGTCTTCAACAGTCTGTTAAGGAAGCCATTCTCGTGGCGCATGTGCCCACAAGTGTCCGAATGAAATCGAATGCTCGGCGCTCTGCATCGGGTTGACTGATAGTCGGTCTGGGAGAGACGGGCAAACCGTGATTTCAAACCAACCATGAGTAGCGGAGGGGTGTACTGCGCACCTGGGACGTCTAGCTTCACCCGAAGGGCTGAGCAATCAGTCACCAGCTCCCAGAGGTTCCTGAAAGAGGCGAATAAACCGCACAACTAGCCACTGGTTCATCTGGACCAACCCTACTGCCCTGAAAGACGCGCCAAGGCTAAAGGTATATTGTCAAATAAAATGCCTACTCTGAACCGGGCAACCGGGTAGTACAACAGCCGAACGAAAATAACTATGGCCGTCTTATGCTATTTGGACCGGCTGTTGTCTACACGAGCTATCATTCTCTTACACCGTGTAAAACTCCCTCATATATTGTCCTCCCGTTTTCACTCTCCGTTACCAAACCCCTTGGAAAATTCATTCGACCACACCAGCTGTGCTATTAATGGAAATCCTGGCTACGGTCTTTCTCGTTTTTCTTCGACTAGCTTTCGAGTCTCATCGAACCTGCTATCACCGGCTAATGCCCTCCTTTGTCCTCGTCGCCCTTTAAAACCAGCCATGTTTGCCGTGCAAACCCTGATGCGTATAGGACAACAGGCGGATTAAGCTTGTACGCTCTAGCTCTTTGTCACCGATGTGTTGCATTCAATACTCTAGTTCCGTCATTCGACTGATGCCCCCATAAACTCCCTCTGAAGTTTCACCAACACATTTCTAAAGACGCTGAAACCACGGCTTCATTTCTTGCTGGCGTTCGCACTGTACTCAATGAACGGACCGAAGCAGTGCCACTGGACTGGATTCCAGTCGGCAGTCACTTACGCGCGGGCCGATGGCCAGCGTTCGCCCACTTCTGCCGTCTCCAGTGGAGTAAGCAAGGTAGTAAAATATCCCCATTCCTCTCCAGCTAGCGATAGAGGATGTTTTACAGGATACCCTGTCTGGTCTTCCAAGCGGTGGAATTGGACTCCTCCCAGTGAATAGCTTATTAGATGTGCCGATGATATTGCTCCGCTATGACAATGCACAACCGGCTCAACACACTCTGGACAGCCTGGCGGTTGTGGCATGCGCTCGTTTTCAGGTGCCAAGTACTTTCGAAAGACTGGTACCAGCCTGTGCCTGAACTCACCCTTTGTTGTGATCAAATACTTTGGGGGCTTTACAGCAGTTGAAGTTGGTGTTGAGCAGATAACGAATAGCAACAGCATGAGCAGCTTTCACTAATCTCCGACACCCCTGGTGTCTCTGACATGCGGGTACCTTGAGAGACGGTGTACGTCACCGCGACTCGTATTGTTTGACTACATGGCCGGGGTAACTGGCCCATCTGAGAGTTGGATGCTCGATGTCTTTCTGTCTGACAACCGATGTCCCTGAAACGTTGCTCGCGTCTGGTGGGACCATTGAATGAGCAATGAAGAGGTTCGTTGTCGTGTTAGGTACGGATGGTTGCCCTGTCTAAATTGATCGTATTACACCGCTCAGACCATTTAGTGAACACCTGGACATCACCCACCTTCCCGTATTAGACAAGTCTGGAAGTGATGCGGCGGCCAGAACATGACTTGACGTCGAGGGACACGGCTCAGAATAGATGTCAGTGGAGGGATGCCGTACGGTGTGCGTTGAAGTCTCGAGCCTCATTATCACGTCACTGCCATAAACAGTAAAAACCAATATGCACGGTCAGGAAACAAATTGACTTTAACTACGTCTTGTTCTTTGTTGTACCTTCTCCCGGCATTTTCTTATATTTGTTTTTTGGTTGCGTTCGCAATCCCAAGGCGCTGTGATTATATATATATGTATATATATATATATATATATATATATATATATATATATATATATATATATATATATATATTGTGCATTTATGCACTGACACATCGGTTGAGAAGCGGAATAACTGCACATTTGTTCGAGAATCACAAAAACAGGACGCGGCATCCTAACACTAATACAAAACCCCAGCCTCAGTGAATTATGCAAAACGCACGCCGTCAGACTGGGCCATAATAAAATGGCTCGATTTACTGTTAGTTTTACTTCGACCTCAGAGATTTGGACGGTAAGCAATCAGATTGCCATTCAATATCTTGAACCAACCCTTTTCGTATTATCCCGTTACTTCTCATAGCTTTGCCCTGAACCGAACCCTCATGCTAGAAATCTACCATTAATTCGGTATAAAACTGTCCGAGACTGACTGTGGGAATGATACCAGGATATCTAGCAGTCTTAACATACACTAGCAGCAGCTAGAAACGGTCTCGGAAGTAGGCATTTCACTAAATTCATATTCTACTTAATGAATAGCAATGCGTATTCGTCACTCAAGTGTAGACGAGTGGAACAATATTAAGACATTAAAGCTCCAGAATTTATTAACAGTTAGAAGAAGTATCCCAATATCTTCCCTCCCAGGTGCTTCCGGTGAGCCTCCTCGTGATCCATAATTCCACTGCTCGTTGTTAACACTAAATAACTGAAGCATTCGTTTGTGAACAAAGAGATTTACCCGAACTGACGCGAAGGAAGTAGATTGCTCGTCCACTTCTCATTATCGCGAACGGACACGTCGAAACGAGGACTGATGACTCCACACTTATTGAGGCGGCCATTGAGTTGTACAACGATCTTTCCAGACCTATGATCATCGATGATTTCGAATTCACTGATATATCCCTTCCGCTGCATCACGCCAAGAAACCGGATGATGACTTTAGATGAGGGCCGAATCATCACTTGCCGCTTCTTACGCTTTTCAGCGTTACATATTGAGCGCAGTGCATCAGCAAGAACATTTAATCGCACCATCCTGGAGAACTGAGTGAAAACGAAAACAACGAACCTGCACAACGTGACCGACCGTCGGAGCCAATCGTGGAGCGCCCAAAAGTGGCTTGCTTAAACAAGCGGCGACTGATATGTCTTCAGTCTTCCGGATAAGAGGCAAAGGGAAACCTCCGGTGTAAGCCTCGCCACGACAGCTCTTTATTGTGGTCTCAATAGAGAGAATCACACCACTTATCAGTCAAAGTGGGGGACAGGTGCTCCAGTTTGGTAAACGTCATCTGTGGTGTATCTCAGGGATCCGTCCTAGGCCCGGTCCTATTCTTGTTGTTTATTAATGACCTGGCATCCGCTCTTCAATCGCCCAACTTTATTTTTGCGGGCGATGCGAAGATTGTTGGGTCTGAGTGTAGGGTACCGTCCTGGACTTGGCATACAAATGGGACTTACCCTTGAACGTTGAAGAAAGCCATTTGTTGTCAAGGGCAAGAGACATCCTAACTGCCGCTCATGATCAAGGGCTGTTCACCATAGAAGTAGTCAGTAAGGTTAAAGACCTTCGGGCCATCATGCACAGTGACTTCAGATGGTCACAGCTGTGCAAAGCTGCTGCGCAGAAGGCTCTTGAGGGGCTCTTTAGGCAGCGATCAGCTTTGTCTTGCCGGAAGCCGAAGTTATTCTTACCTATTTACATGGCTATAGTACGACCTCACCTAGAAGGTAGAGAGCAGGCTTGGTCACGCTTGAAGTCTTAAAGTCTTGAAGTACTACACGGGTTCGAGGCTTTCAGTCCAATTGTCCCGGTTCTTGAGGAAATCTTTGATCTGTCGGATTCACCGAGCTAAAACGAGAGTAAAAAGAAGCGGGGTGGGGCTGGGGTGACAGCGAAAACAAGATACACACAACATCATGCAGTGTCACACTGTGCACAGTGCCTTAAGCTGAGTGGGGTTGCGGCATTCATGAACATATATGCGATAAAAGACATCTATTTTGTTTGTTTTTTGACAAAGGAATTATTGGGAGAGACCCAGGTAGAGGTCTAGCTTTGTCTTGAAGATAGTTTTGTCCTGCGAGAGGACAATATCTTCCGGAAGTACATTCCACATGGTAATAACCCTATAGCTAAAAAAGTTATTCCTTAGTGAAGTGCGTGGCCTCGGTTTGAAAACCTTTCTGCTGTGACCACGGAGAGAAGAGGCTGGACAGATGGAGAAAAAGAAATCGCTTTGACCCGTTTCAAAAATGTGGAACATCAAAAACAGATCACCTCTTACGCGTCTTAAGTCAAGGGAATAGAGGTTGGGGAGTGAGAGGCGGACGGGATAAGGTAGATGGTATAGACCACTTACTGCCTTGGTGGAGGCCCGCTGAACTCTTTCTAGGATCTCACGGTCTCGGACAAGACCAGAGTGCACTATCTGACTATCGTACTCCAGCAGAGGTCGGATATACGTGCCGAAAATTATGGGGAAATCATCCTTAGATATGCGCGGGAAGGACCTTCGAATCATGTTTAGGACTCGAAAGGCAGACATGCTCGCAAGTTGGTGATGATGAGAGAACGATAAGTTACAATCTAACCAGAAACCGAGCACCTTGTGTCGGTCAACCCTTGGCAGTGTGGCTGCTCTGTTAATGAAAAACTTGTGACCAATCTCTCTGCCGAAAGACATGCTCACGCATTTGTCATCATTAACTGGGAGGTTCCAATCCTCGGACCAGCGTTTTGTTTCGTAAACTGCAATTTGCAGGTCTTCAACGCTTGAACTCCAGAAGGTTACATCATCTGCGTACATGGTAATGTTCGCAGGAAGGGCTGTCGGTAGATCGTTTATATAGGTCAAGAAAAGAAGAGGACCTAAGACCGACCCTTGGGGGACCGCAGTTGTTACTGGGGCGGGTTGAGACAAAACATTCCCGACTTTAACCACAAAGGTGCGGTCGGTAAGGAAGCTACGTAGGTTGGCCAACATGGAGCCTGTGATCCCGTATGTCTGCTGCTTATAAAGAAGGGGGCATGGGGGACCTTATCGAAGGCCTTAGCAAAATCGATAACCACAGCGTGTGCGAGCTGGCCATCACCATAGGCTTTCGTTAGACTATCCATGACGGTAAACATATTGCTGATGCATGATCTGCCAGGAAGAAACCCATGTTGGGACTGGGAGAGGATCTTAGTTCTATGAATATGGGAGAGAATCTCACTCTTGAGAATTCCCTCAAACATTTAGCCGGGGATGCTAGTGAGGCTTATGGGTATGTAACTAGAATCAAGGTGTCTACTACCCTTCCCATAGATGGGCGCGATCACTGCTATTTTCCAGCTACTGGGGAAAACTCCATCGTCAACACATCGATGAAAGAGCGAGGCATAAGGAGCAGCTTCTACAAAAAGGACGCCGCCCGCCTAATGAACGTCCAACGTCTAGCCCCGCGAATGGTTGAAAGGCAGAGGGGTAAGACCTACGAGCAAAGACTCTGTGACCTGAATCTTTTCTCGTTGGAAAGGAGGAGAAGTCGAGGGGATCTCATAGAAACGTTCAAGGTAATGAAGGGCCTTTCTGGCCTTAGACCAGATAGTCTATTCCAAGTGGCCGTAGATTCCAGAACAAGGGGACTTGAATAGAAGCTGATAAAAGCCCGAGCTAGGTTGATGGATAGATCGCACTTCTTCAGCAACAGGGCTGGGAACAGTTGGAACGGTCTACCTGGTGGAATGGTAGATCTGCAGACAGTCCAATCTTTCAAAGGTGCCCTAGATCGCAAGTGGTACGAGATATTTCCTCGTAGTGAGCCTTGAGTATATCAACTGGATGGATGACGGGTAGCACTGTGGTCCTTCTGGAGTATGTTTTAATAGACTTTTTCGCTCATTGCATACAGTCTCAGTGAACGCTGACGATGCATAATATCTCTCGCAGCTGATGTGCGATGAGGTTTTCCGTTTCCCTCCCATTCTTAGCGGGGATTCGACGAAATACACTCGGCAGTGATGGGTGCATAGCTGGTGTAACAGCCGATCGTGGAAAATCCCCCTTTTTCCCCCGCGATTCAGTGTTTTTTCCCAACATCACTCATTTCCATACACTATTGACTTGTCTTTACGAACTGGTTGTTCTTCCGGACCAATTGTTGTTTGTTCGCGCCCAGAGCGCTATTTTGGCACATCCTTGTTCAGGACCTGCGTGACGCACGTGCTGTCTGCTCACACGCTGCTATTCGGTTTCTCGTTGTTGAGTCCTTGTGATCGTATTATTGAGGTTTGTACATTGTTTATGTCATTGTTTATTTCAATAATCTAGTATCGTAGAATTATCACGGATAATCGCCTTCTGATTTCGGGATCCGTTGCGAATTTGGCTACGCATTGCTCAAACGTTCGTAAAAGCTGGTGCGCATACCATCGGAGGAATTCTGGACGCTCGATTGGCCGTGGCCATTACCTGTCCTGTGCTAACTGAACTGAACTGAACCGAACTGAAGGAAGTCATCTAGTTTTCGCTTTAAGGTCGAATCGTGCACCTCTTCCACCACTTCCGCCGGGAGCGAGTTCCAAATAATGGAAACTCTTCGGGATAGTGGGTATATAAGCAGCAAACCAACAGATTCCACCTTAAAGAGTATCAGTGAGTGTCCCCTCACACGACAAGGTCCACTCAGTTCAAAAATCTCTTGTAGTTCTGGTCCTTGATTGCCTCGGAAAATATTACGGAAGCAAGTGAGGTCACCCGTAATGGGACGAGTGGCACCTATGGATTCCTGTAAATTTCCGACCTCTTCCATTATTCTCAACGCCCCTTGGTGCAACACTTCTCTGTTATACCGACTTTTAATGTAAAACAACCGCAGACACCATTTTGAACATCATCACCGCGCAATACAAAAATGATGTCAACGAATCTTTCATTCTGGCACGGCCCCATCTTCTGATCTGCAGTGTCATGGAATTATATCAACCAGAACTAACTGTGAAAAATAAAACAATTTAGAGGCCTCGATGGCGTCGCCTGGCATTCATCTATATACCATCTTGAGCTGTTCAATGAGGGGTTGTCAGATCGCACCGAATTGAAGATGTTGGCGGATATCGGCTCTTCGGCGCTCACATCCTAATCACAAGAACGGCAGATAACCGTCAGTTTATGTCATACTTCTGTTTCACTTTATTTTTTGTGTACACACCCTTTTGGCCTTTTATCTCAACACGCTGCTCAGTCTATCTTAGTTTGCCAGTGTCGTCTTAGGTATTGTTAACAATAAACTGGTGTAACACATGAAATGATTAGTTCTCTACCGAGCTCTCTGAAGTCGTTCTAACTTGACTGATTCGGCAGCGGTGCACGGATATGCTGCCGCAGCACCAAACTCCAACTCAATTCAATTTAGCTCGGTTTAAAAATTTGACGGCAGAATGCCTGAAAGTCCAGATTCTTGCACAGGTTGGCTCCTTGGATCCGCCGATGTATCGACAGTCGGAAAAGACGACTCTTCTTCAATACTCAGCAGCAACTAGGGTGGGTTGAGGCTAAATCTCCAAGCCCTTGCTCTCCAACAAATTTTCTAATCACGGCCGTTAGTCACACCCACATGCACCTCACGGTCAGCTACTCCGGTAATAATGGTAGTATAGTAGGAGGTGGTAGGAGCTAAATAACGATTCTGCAAATTACTTGCTTGGAAATCCTCCCTAGCCGCTGCCATATACTTGTGTTTTTGAGACTATGCCCTTTATTTTATTCACCCTCGAACAAGCACAACATGCATCAACCACTACGCTTCAACATTTGTTTATATTTTGTTCACGTGAAGTGGCATAATTTTGACTTGAACTTGGACTGCCGTAAGGGCGGTACCTGACATTCACCTTTGTTGAACTCTGGTCCTCGCTGCTAGACGTTGTGGCCGTTACTGGTTGCACAAGATTTGAAGTGAAAGGACTTTCTCAGTTGTCTACAAAAACCCTATAGACTCCGGTCACGCTTCCCCAACACACAGTCATCCACATCTTATCTGATCTCCTG